CCTTCAGCTGGATAGGCCTCCTCTATGGCTGCATTATTTTCGATGCTTCTAGCCCCGATATTTGCTTTTTAGCGGCAGAGGGATACGCAAAGCTATAGATGATGTGTCGGTGGTTTTGATCCCGCTGAGTCAATACTTCGGACTATACAAGTCTGTTCCTGAAACATCGCCGTTTGGTTCACCCCACACCAACCCAATCGCAATAGTTAAGCGGCGACTTCCTCCATGCCATGAGGAACACGTATGCTACTAACCGGAATAGAGGGTTCTACGCTGATCGCTAAACTCCTGGTCTGTGGTGGATCGGCTTTCGGGTGGATCCGTCAGCGGGAGAATGCGCGTCGTTGACGTTTGTGCCTCAGCCACGACTAGGATCTTGTCTTGCTCTTGCTCCTAGGGCTGGAAACAGTTAACTTTATCGTATGAAGAATAAAATAAATATCTGTGGACTATATCAGGAGCTGCCAATAGTGTATAGAACCATCCAGTCACGGCCATGGGATACATCTACTGCATCAGGCTATAGGCGTATTACGTAGGCCCCTGTATATAAGTGGCTCTTTCCTCTACAAACGTGGGGGGGGGGGGGGGGGGGAACACACTGCGTGATGATCGTTCAATGGATACTTTACAGAGTTTGTATATACATAATTATAGAAAATCCTTATCGGCCATAGTGAACAATTGGACGGGTAGCTGCTGATCCGAGTAGTTCGCCTGATTTCCCGGTTGTCAAAGCTTGGGAGAGAGCGGATCAGCTCCACCTACCGACACTCTATGTTTGTAGTAGTGGGATTCGGCTTCTGAGGACAGATACCGGCCTGCCAACGAGCATTCAACCTTACTCCACTCTGTCTAAAGTTGATGCGTGGAGGCTGTTCAGCTCATCTCCATTGACCATGTCCTCCGTCCACGTACTTCGATGGACCACTTCCTAGCTGGCCAATGAGTTCTTGCCAATATGTGCTGATCCTTGTTAGAGAATATGATAGTTGTACTTGGCTTGTCTATTCCGATATGGCCATGGTGAGGATTGTAGGAGAATAGCCTGTGTGCTCGAGAATATAAGCAGCTGCTTCCAACGCTTGAATAACCATTGGATGCATCAACTCATGGTCATTCTCTTTGTTATGGTAACCCACAACCCTCTTTAACAGTGGGAGACAACATGAAATCGTCCCTCCTTTGTATACTTGCCAGCATTGTGGCTGTCACTGCCACAAACGTCCCTTCGCTCTTAGTCCGAGACTCCGTCTCCGCGTCGCTCTCTTCTTCAGCATCTCTTAGTACATCTTCCTCTGGTGCCTGCACAGGAAACACTGCCAACAATCGTCAGCAATGGTGCAGTTATGACATCAATACGGACTATACCACTACCACTCCGGACACGGGTGTCACTCGAGAATATTGGTTTGACCTGGAACATGTCACCGTGGCTCCGGACGGGCGGTCCCGGTTCGCCCTAGCCATCAATGGCTCTATTCCCGGCCCTACCATTGAAGCAGACTGGGGTGATACTGTGGTTGTGCATGTCAACAACAAACTACCTAGCTCCGTCAAGAATGGCACCAGCATTCACTTCCACGGAATCCGCCAATACTACACAAACCCTTCGGACGGTGTGGTATCTATCACCCAGTGCCCGACCGCTCCGAACAACACCATCACTTACAAGTGGAAAGCTACTCAGTACGGCTCGACCTGGTACCATTCGCACATTGGTCTCCAGGCTTGGGAGGGTGTGTTCGGTGGCATCAAGATCAATGGCCCAGCGAGTGCCAACTATGATGAGGATAAGGGGTTCATCTTCCTCAACGACTGGGACATCAATACAGTGGACCAGCTCTTCGATAGCGCCCAAGTGGACGGACCCCCGGAACTAGATTCTGGTTTAATCAATGGAATGAATGTCTTCGGACAGGATGGTTACGCCAATCAGACAGGTACTAGATGGAATACATCTTTCACAGAAGGTGAATCCTATCGATTTCGCCTGGTTAATGCAGCGTGCGACAGCCATTTCAAGTTCATGATCGACAACCATACTATGACGGTCATCGCCAACGACCTCGTCCCCATAGAACCGTACAATACTACCGTCCTCGATATTGCAATGGGTAAGTCGACCTTGAGAATGATCATATCATACACTCACTGATCATGGATACAGGACAACGCTACGATATCATCGTCCGCGCAGACAAAGCTTCCATCGCCAAGAACTTCTGGCTGCGTGCCATCCCCCAAGAAGCCTGTTCCGAGAACCAGAACCCCACCAACATCAAGGGAATCGTCTACTACGGCTCTTCTCCATCGAGACCAACAACAACGGCATATTCCTACACAGATGCCTGTGATGACGAAGACATGTCCAATCTCGTACCGATCGTCAACCCCTACTCAATAACCTCGAACCCGTTATACAACGAGGCTGAGCCCGTGAGCCTAGGCAAGAACTCCCAGAGCCTCTATCGCTGGAAGCTAAACAGTACCTCCATGCATGTGGCCTGGGAGGACCCAACTCTCCTAGAGATCTATCGCAACCACACCTCCTTCACCAACACCAGTGGTGTCGTCCAGCTGCCTCGCGCAGATGAATGGGCCTTTGTCATCATCGAGACCACTCTATCCGTGCCTCACCCCATTCATCTGCACGGACATGACTTCGTCGTCCTCTCGCAGGGAAGCGGAACCTACAGCGCAGGCGACATTACCACGAACAATCCTCCCCGCCGTGATACGGCCATGCTTCCAGCAAATGGCCACCTGGTCATTGGCTTTGTGACTGATAACCCCGGGGCGTGGTTGATGCACTGCCATATTGGGTGGCATACGGAGGAAGGCTTTGCCATGCAGTTTGTGGAGCGGTACTCTGAGATCCAGGACTTGATTGATTACGACTTGCTTCACTCGAACTGCCAGAACTGGGAGACTTATCAGAGCGGAAGAGATTTCGCTATTCAGGATGACTCGGGGGTTTAATTGTGTCGTTCTTTAACATGCGCCATCTCAGATGTACCTGTGCAAGCACATATTCTTTCTTGTCAAGTGTCTGCGGAAGTGGGTGTATCTTTCGTAATAATATATTGATTGTCTTGTGGATCGATATGCTCTGCCTGTTGGGACTAGTACACCTTTGTGCATAGGTTAAGTTCTAGGTTAGAGGTAATAGACTAATGCAGTACTCTAGAACTATATTTGGACGCGGCATGTTAGTTCTGTTAGTTCAAGACTTCGACGATTATTTAGCCAACAGGTTGCACTACTCTCCCCACAAGTATCCCCCTGCCAAGAACGGCTGTCACAGACGTCTTTGCGATTTGAGTGTGTGAGAAATCCCAGTTTCTTTGTTGGCATAACTCCAGAAATATTGCACTCCGCCATCCAAGTCAGTGCCTGGCGTTCCCAACTCTTTTCCCAACTATTGCAATTGGGTTTCGAAGTCTAACTGTTGAAGGAACACTGACTCCTTCACCCTAATCTGCCATCAGGCCGTCGATATTATGCGCTTAGTAGGCGGTTATGAGGAGCTTCTAGCTGCGGTAGCATCGTTGGTGCCCTCATTGTCCCTTCAGTACGAGAATAGGCAACACTGTTGGATTTATTTACTCGCTCTATCGTATTATCAGTATGCCCCCTCCCAGCACCCAATACCACCCTGTGAGCAGATCTGAGCACGGTAATAAGTCAGACAGGTAATTACCCAGGCTGACGCTGCAGCATTGTCCTACCTTACCTAAGATGCTCATTTGTGCGGGTGTTGGCCAACGTTGCTTCATTGTCTCATTTGCCTCCGTTCGAATTGGCCCCTCTGAATGTGAGCATGCAGCACAGAGTACGGTGTGACTAAGCCCTAATTGGGTCAGACACTCCCCTGAAACCTAGATGGCCAGAATAGGAGGGGGAAATCCCTCACAACTCCGCCATGTGTCGGCTATTTCTCCGACCGGTTTCACATCGCACTGCCGAGGAGAAGCTTGAAGGTCCAAACCAGGTCCAAGGAAAGATCCAGGGCGCCTCGAACCATGCAGAACTAGAAAGGTCTGATCCCCCCGTGGGATGAAACTGAAAATTGTCCGCGTGTTGGGGCTACTCCTGAAACGGTTTGGCGTGGTGGGCAGTTGACCATCACGTGCCAGGGCTACACGGGACCTGTCTACCAATCAGTGGTGGATATTTCCTCACCCTAGAATGTTACTGCCTAGAAGAGTACAACCTCATTCAACCTGCGGAGGCGAAGCTTTTCTTCGGTGGATCCGGAAAGCTTGGCTTGCTCCTTATTCGGTGTGGGATCAGCAGGCAACGGACCCAATGCGCTGTTCAATGCCAGTGATACGAGGTTGCACCCCGAAAGCGGTTATACTAAAGACCCTTGTCGTCTTGCAGAAGGATTGGGCGAAACCGCTTGTCAGAAATAGCTTATAGACTCTCTGCCCACTGGGTGAGGAAGAAAGACACTATTTTATCAAATTAGCGCTGATGGGGCATCGTTGAGAATGGGTATATACCATTCGTCTCCACCAGTATGGCAACCCAGCGTAGGCTACCACATTATGGCCCCAGGCCAGACTGTTACGGGTAATACTGGTGGGATTGTTTTGCGAAGTGCCTAGTAGTAGTAACGCTGTGGGCTAGCCTCGCTGAGATCCAGGGTTCGTTTGGGGGCTTTCTCAGGAGAAACGGGGATCTCGATCAGAGGGAAATCTCCCTCGCTTTAATATTAACGTTCATTGTCCCTTTTTCTTCTCTGTCTCTTTCGACTCTCCATTCATAGACACATGTACAGACTCATGTATGTTGACTGATGGGATTTGGCCGTTTCTCATTGTTGGCTTCCGTCTACCCTCCTTTTCTCTCCTATTGTTCTTGATATAGCCCATCAATCCTTTATTCAAGGTCATTCTAATAACATTCCCCCACCACCATCACTCTCTTCCTGCTTTTAATGGTTTTCAACCCATCGAGGAGCCCATAATTGTTCACAGCAATTGGAAGCTACAATGGCAATACGTTATCACCATAACAATACTGCTCTCGAGACTCTTACATTACAGCCTATCTCGAGGCTCGCTCCGTTTTCCGCTCTCATTATTTCGATAATACACGTCATCCTTTTTCTGGTACGGTATTATGTGTTAGAGGGGTTTCTCATAAAACGTCTCTATGGCTCTATCTATACGAACCTGAGTGAGGTGAACCGACGCGGGTTCATTAACCACCACATTGCCGGTCTGATGAAGATCCTAATTTTAATCGTCGCCGCATACCCTTTCCTCGAGGTGGTCATTGGGAAGGCATCCTTCCACACACCCTACGCACCTGGCTCCCGTGTGACAATGGGCGACATGCTGGTCGTGGTCGCTCAGATGCTCATTGGGATGTATGCGTTCGAGTTGATTTACCGCACTAAGCTGTCGCCTATCGCTGTGCTACATCACATCGGGACCATTGTCATTGGCCAGTCCGCAATCGCAATCAGCTTAGATTTGGCCCGAGAGCCAGATGCCGATATCGAGTTTGTCCTGTGTACCGTATGGGGTAAGTTATACGCTACCTGTCTCTATGATATTCTACAAACGTAGGCTTATATTGTCCTCTATCAGGTGCCTTCGACATCATATCAGAGTTCTTCCCCCACTTGGCCATCATTCTTTACCGCGTCTTCCCCCACCGCCACCGTTTCCTTAAACGCCTCTTCCTCCTATCGTGCATCACCACAGCCTTCGGGACAACCTGCGAAACCATTGTTATCTCCTTCCTGTTCGGCTCTCTGTGGGATCGATGGCAGATTGCCTTCAAGGTCGTCACCCCGCTACTTCATGTTGCCTTTTCTGCAGCCCAGGTCCACGGTAGCGTGGTCTTCTGGAAGATGTACAAGCGCCAACAACGGCTTGAGGAAGAGACGTCTGGATTCGATATCGAGAACGGGGATGTTCGTGAAATGCATGTTCACGCCGACAAGACGAAACTTGATTCTTCTGGGTCTACGGTCGCTATTGTATAGACCTTCCTCTGCAAATGATAGATTAGCTTGGTGTTTGGGGCGTTGTTGAATGCGGTGTGTTTGTGATAGATTACGAGTCTTACTGTACATCCTACATTGAATCTTACCTTTTCATCTAATTGTATACATAATTTATATCTTGGACAACCTGCTGCTACTGTTGTGCTACTATCATTCAAAGTGATCTCCGCCTGGAGAATATGAGTAGAAGGATACGTTTCGGGTTTAAAGGTATCCTACTGGAAAGTAGGCTGTTTTTGCTATCCTGGAAAACGCCTCTAGGGACTCATATCATAGTTGCAAGGAAACTTACAGTATGAAATGGAGGTTATCTTCGAGTAATATTGACCCTTTTTCATTCTTCTGTCGAGCGTTCCACTAGAGCTCTCCCTTCTCTATTCATTCTCGTTCGAAAACTACCTTCTTCCAAGGTCTTTTTAAACTAGCGTTTAGTACCCCCTGGGTTTGGTGGAGCTGCCTGAGTGTGCGCGTGTACGAGAACGCGGTTTATGAAGAATTGAGGCTTGGTTTCACATCTTATGTAAAATTGGGCAGATACTCTCGAGCACAGCAGACATTATATTAGCCTTTAAAGTTATGAGCAGCCTTCGGTAACAAAATCTACCGTGACGTGGTCCTTCCAGCAAGGCGGGCATAGCATCGCAGTTTGGTATTTGCTAGATAATAATCGGATATTGCTGCGTTATATTTGTGAGTGACTCAGATGGTTCATCACTGGGGGGTTAAAGTAGAGTGTCAGACAGTAATACGTACTAGTATAAGACCGGGGGCGTGGATATCAGTAGCGTGTGTTCAATGCAATGTAATTACATGAATGGCCGGCTCTCAACCCTTCCGGGCCCGTGGACTGGCCTTATTAATTCATTATGATATCCTATCAGCTGGTCTTCTGGTTCCTCCTCCAGGGGGGAAGCCTCCCCCATTTCGATGTCAACCTTGGGTAGGTTCACTGCCTATATCATTAGTGTACAACAGTCTTGTGCAGGTTTCACTTTTCAAGGGGGTTCGAGAAAAGAGCTGTGGAGGTAGGTAAGATCTCCAATCCTTATTTCCATGGCTCGCACAAAAGCTGCTGTCCTGAACGGCGGTCCTGGTGGAAGCGTATTCGAACGGTCTATTTGTGAAGTTTACCTCCTTGCATAGCTTGACTCACAGCGCACAGTATGGCCAGTGGATAAACACTCCAATCCTCCTCTCTCCAGGTTTAATACTAATGAGTCCCCAGGATACTTGTTTGTAATCCAAGGATACTGCTTCTTGAGCATATTCGCCGACTCGTGCATGGTACCCTTCGTAAACAACATACCACGACTGCCGCGATATGTAGTAATTATTCCGGGCCCTGGGGTGCGCGACCAACTTTCAAGTCGCCGTTCGTATCGAAGTCGTGAGGACGACCAGTGTACCCTTGGAATATCTCTATGTATCAGCTCCATAAAGAATTCTCCAAGTATTGTACCCGAATGGTAAGGGCAATAGATCTTGTATCGTACCCATGACCTAGAATCCAATGAGCGGTCACTGGACGGAACGTGCAATGCATGCTACCATTGCACCGGATTTCCTTTTTGTGGATATCGTGGTGTATATATCGAATATAAATGAGTACACTCGACAGAGAGCAGGTCATAAGCCCATTAATCTGACGTTCTAACCTCGCCTTGCATCATCATAGAAAAGGGAGTAGTCTGTCTTGCCGCCGATCATGTAGGGTTTGCCCCTGTATGGTCATTGTAGTTTCATTTGTCGTTCAAATTGCCAGTGAAGCGATTTGGAGGACTCGATAGCTGTAATTGATGCACAGTTTCCTTTGTCCTTTTATTGGCCGTGCTGATAGAACTCCTAGAGTTTCTTTCGAGCGAGCGTTGTCAGTAGCACTGCATCGACTCGAGCTCATGAAACAGTCTGTATCATGCACCACTCATGGATGGAAGAGATGCGATGTAGAATGCATGCTGAAACAGGTTCAATCCGTTCCTCAGACTTGTATGATGAGAGTGTGATGCATCGCACTCTGTCCAGTCTTGTTGAGTCCATCATCTTCCTAGTATTTCTAGGACCAGCGACAGCGGACGTCAGTTTCGATGAAGGCAGTGCGCATCTTGGTGCTAAAAGACCGGGTAACGCAAATGCTTTCGACATAGGACAACCCTCTGGCTTGGTAGGGAAATTATTATTCTGGCTTTTCACGTTAATTAATCTGTCTCAATAGCCATCCTCATCTTCCGCTGGATGAAACTATTTATTAGTTAGGTGAAGCATTATGGTCCATAACTCGGCCGGGTTCTATAGTTTCACTGTGGGTACAACGCATATGATATGAGCAACACTCGCCATGACTGCAGGGCTTGAACCATCACCTCGCCATAATTGGTGCTGAATAGGGCTGCGTAGTAGACCTCCGCATTTATAGGGTAAAATGAACCCTTGGTGGATTCCCAGCTTTGAGTCTCTTGAGTTGGAAGATAGATTTAATTAGTGCTCCAGACGACTTGGAAGTCATGATACATTTAATAAATAGCTAATATTCCCTAAACATACAGAAGTAAGTGACTTATTGATGCGAATTGTACCATTCAATAATTAGCAGTCGTGCGACAATGCAGCAGCGCATTCCCTTGGTCTGCATCTATCACCCCAGAGTCCAATTCATTGAACACCTTACCATTCCCTGTGAAAAGAACTGCACATTTATTCCATTGGTTGTGAAGGATTAAGCTTGCACCTCCTCACCGATCCATATCCAACTCGATCCAATGATGGTACTATAACCATATGATATCTAGTCAGCCAAAACAAGACTACGAGACCTAGCACACTGTCTTCACAAGCCTACTACTATCTTTTACAAATGCGGACGTTTATGCCTGTTGGTTTTAATATCAGTTCTAATCCTCAATGGTGCGGCCTGAATCTGCACCGCAAAGGGGAAAACCCCTCTCGGTAGCAGAGAAATTGGTGGAGGCAGAGCAGGAGGGGTTAATTGATAACCTGGCAAGAGATCTCAAGAACCATGTTTTTAGCCCAAGCTACCATGAGACATTGGAAGAACTTCAGGTGCCGGGCCCACCTATCGTGTCGGAAGCCCAGCACAGACAAGCTTCTGATAATAGTATCCCCCGGTATACCACGATCAAACAGAACACGCTGAACTTCTCTAGGGTAAATCCAGAAGCTGAACGTGCTGATCGGCTGGTGTACAGAGGCGAAATCTGGTGTCGCTATGGGAATTTCGTCAACAGTATGTCTGGATTCATTGGCACGATACCCTCGTGATGCACCTAATCTCATGTGTTCTTCGTTGCTGTTTATGAGTCGCTCTAGTGAGCATTACCGATGAAACATATGATGGTTCGTGATAAGTCACAGTTTCAGCAGAGGTTGATATAAGATCCTGCCCCCTCAGAGGCTATATTTAGAGCTGATACTTTTGTGGGCAGGGCTACCGTATCAAGTCTTGCAGCCGATGTGGATGATGGTGTTCTTCACGTACGCGGAATACCAGCCAGTGGGAAAACGATCCTATCCGAACTTCTAAGGGACTACTACCGCAAGCAAAGGAGGAAGGTGAATCTACTCAAGACATGGATGCTGCTGGACAGTTGCGAGGGCGATGACCCTTGAACTCAATTCCCCTCGTTCCTGCAAGAAAGGTATCCGACATCTAGTGCTCTAGGGCTTTTTTTTATGGGCATTTTATTCCATCCGCGGAGCGATCAACCTGGTCTTGGGGCGCGATCCTGGCGATTCAGGTAAACGGCATGGTCTTTCGTTCTCAAAGGTCATCATCACGCCCTCACGTACGAACCGGAGATATGCAAAAGTCCGACCATGCTCAGTAACCATGCACTCCATGATTCGAACAAAAGAATGGTCAAGATTATATGAGCATAACGTGAAGTCCTCATTATCCCCAGCTTACATGGGTAAGTCTGTCAGTCGGACATATCATAGACTTTGCAACAAGACAGATCACACCGCAAGTTTCTCTCGGGAATCGGGATCCATTTAGTAGCCAGGTTAGAGGGCATGGGCCTGATTTGAATATGAGTAAGCTGGTTTTGACATCGCATTTGCCTGTTTACCGCAATCTACTGCATCGTGAGTAAGTCCATTGGTCGGAATTTCCATCCCGTTGAGCTACCATAGTCTGGAACTCTTGGGGCACTGGACTCACGGTGAGGCCATCTATAAGCAAAGGGCTGTGCGGCCTTAGCGCGCGAGACCAGAAGCTGTGGGATGCGATGTGGCGATGCAACCAATGCCAATAGCTGTATTGTCATTATGCAGTCTATTATAGGCTTTACCTGGTAGAATTATGCTTGCATAATAGAACGTAAGCACTCGTACTCGTACTGGGGGAAGGTTCCAATGGTGTTCTGCCAGCTGTCCGAAAGACTAGTTCTTTGTCCCGCAGATTCAGCCTCACGCGAGAGACAGTGTTATCCCCCCCCCCCCCCTCCGACATTTCATAATCAGCTCGGCGTCTGGAACGGATACCATTACTAGTATATTGAAATAAACCACAAGTACATCATGGGCGAAAAGTCTTTGACCGGAGCATGTCTGTGTGGAAGGATCACCTACCGCGTGGATCTCCCCGCCGATGCGCCATCCCCCAAGGTACTTACGATCAACACCTCCCCCACCTATCGCCAGACTCCTGGACGATTTAGATCCGCCCTAAGCTAACATTTCTTGCTCACCCCAGGTTGCTCTCTGCCACTGTGAGGACTGCAAACGCAACACGGGCACGCCCTTCTCGTCGAATCTCCTCATCCCCAGGCCCACTTTTACCTACACGGCCGGAACCCCCAAGGTTTACGCCCATCCGTCGGGAGATCTGGGGAACGAACTCCAGCGGCACTTCTGTGGGGATTGTGGGTCCCCACTCATTACGCAGCCGGGGGGCAGAGGCACTGTCACTGTCAAGACGGGCACATTAGATGCCGAGTCTCGCGGCGATTTGGGCTTAGCATTGGAAATCTATTGCAAACGACGGGAGCCATGGGTGGATCAGATCGGTAGCGTGCCCAAGGCCGAGGCCATGCCGTAGCTTGTCTTGACTTGTCTTGACTTGTCTTGTCCTATCGGGAGATTTACGTATTGAAATGATGGCAGTATTATATGTCCATGATCGACCCTACTATGGCCCCTGTAGGATGGCGACGTAACTGGTATAGATCGAGGGCCAGCCTCGGGTTCTGCTCGGTAACTCTAATCTAATCAGGTTTTACCCCGCGTTCTTCATGGGTATCAGATAAGAACCTGGACGGCCACCTTTTCCTTCGCTCTGTTAAGGCACAGAGAGACAACTTCATCCCCATCTACCATCCGCACACACATACACACAAACCAGACAGCAACAGCAACATGGCGCCCCCCACCGCAACCGAGACCGCTCCCCCCATTACTCTCGAGGCCCGCCAATCCACCCAGGAAGCCGGCGCCGAGAAAGCCAAGGTGAAGATGAACATCCCGAGACCACCCGTATTCGACGACAAGATGAAAGAGCGTGAATACCTGAAGGGCCGACTGGCAGCGGCCTTCCGCATCTTCGGCAAGATGGATACGATGAGGGTAGGACCATCCTCCCCAACCCCACTACGATCGATGGGGTAGAACGTAGGATATGAACGGGCAAGCTTACGATATACATCACCGGAACACAGGCGTGGCCGGCCACATCACCCTTCGCGACCCCGTCGACCCTAGCACATTCTGGGTGAATCCATTCGGTGTCGCCTTCTCTCAGATCAAGGCCTCGGATCTCATCCTGGTCAACCACGCCGGAGAGGTCATCGATGGCGGTCCATGCCGACTGCTCAACGCCGCCGCCTTCATGATCCACTCGGCCACTGGATATTATCACGCAGGACGCCTGTGCCTTTTACAATGTCAGCGGTCCCCGCACACATCTTGGTCCGGTCCCTCCATGGCTGACTCTTGGTACAGGATCACGTCGTCTACAAGCAATTCAACGGCATCGTCCTCGCGGAGGAAGAAGGAAAGAATATCGCCGCCGCACTGGGCGACAAGAAGGCGGCTCTATTGCAGAATCACGGTCTCCTAACGGTCGGCAACACGATCGAGGAGACCGTGTTTTGGTTCGTGAGCTTGGAAAAGTGTTGCTATGCACAGTTACTAGCGGATGCGGCGGCGGCGGGACGAGGCGGACAGACGATCAAGGTGGACGATGCCGACGCTGCCTTCACGTACAAATCTGTGGGGACGCGGTTGGCGGGTTATTTCAGTGCGAAACCGCTGTTTGATGTGATCCATGAAGAGACGAAGGGAGCGTATTTGAACTAGCCGGCTTGTTTATACTCTCCAGGATGTCTTGATGAATGTGTCTTCTTTTCTTCGAAGCAGTGTCTATTTCCGACTGATATAATACACGACAAAACTATCTTGGTTTCACTTTGTATTTTTCAATAACCGTAGAACATCTTATAAGATTGAGATAAATCGTTGCTGTATGTTATTCGGTATAGCATGAAATGAGCGAACACATTACACACAAGGTCGGTGGGGATTGAGTAGTTGAGTATGGAGAGCGCGAACAAGCTGGGACTGCAGTGAGCTTCCCGGTTCATCATAGGGAGGAATAAAAGGTTCAAACACTACAAAGCAGATAGAAAGAAGAAAGCAATAGCAAAAAGCTTCCATGGTGGACATAACTAGAGTTACATCAACCTGGAGTGTGCATTTCGAGAGCGAGCGAAATATGACCTTCCCAGCCATCAAGCCCTGTGCGAGCACAAGGTTCAACATGAAAGAAAAGATGGTTGATATTCGCGTTTGCTACGAATCAATTGCTTAAGTAGTTACAGTCACCCAGTTGCAGCTCGCCACGTTCCACATCCCTCCTATATCCAATAGTCAAGATATCACCTTCGGCCGTTGGAGCACTGACCCACTGCGCGAGCCATTCCATTTCCCACGCTGCCAGCAACTCGATATGTGCGTCATACCTCAGAGTGAGAAACGATGCATCCCTTTGGGCCCTCCTTCGCAATGTAATATTCATGCTATTACATCATCTCAGGCTGCGGTCTTGCTCAGATAATGGTGTTGGGAAATCATCCTCCAACATTACCAGGTAGTTTGCAAAGTCTCTCACGGTCTTATCGGGGTGCTGTCGAGCGAGAGTCCATCGATGGCGGGCCATCCTCGGGGTTGCAGGCCTTGCGATTTGATGAAGTAGAAAGAAGCAGAACTCGTCCAAGCCCACTCGACCCGGCATATGGCGTCCACTCATCGAGAACAAGGCGCGATAGATGCCTCTTTGCTTCAGCAATCTTTTTTTTTATCGACAGCAAAAAGCCATTGGTGTTCACGAAAGAACCCCCGCAGGTTGCTGACTACGGGATATATGAAATATCGATCCCGCCCGCATTACCTTCCGGATACGGGGAACTTTGGCACCTCTGCCCCCGTCGTTGATCTGATGTTACCACTAGCGTTATTATCACCGGTAACTGGTTCGGGTCTCGAGTCCGACGGCTTCGCATTTAGCCTTTCTTATCCACTGGGATGGTACTACCTGTTGTCAGTGGAGTAGGTGTATGCAATCGATTGAAGGAGCGACCGCCAGTCGGTGTTCGTGATTCTGTCGCATGAAGGCGGTGTTGAGCGTCGGCCAACAATCGGTTCTCGCGAGCAATCGCATTGCGTAGGTTCCATATTTTGCGTTAACGGATGTTGCAGACGGAGGATCTCTGCGGTGGTGTCGGCCTGGTCTTCTGGGATTACCGAATTCGCGGCCATGGCGTCAGTCATGCGACAGACACAATCAAGTCAATATCGAGGTCGGTTGTTCGAGGCGTGGTCCCCGTGGATACCAAGCAGGTCGGATAGGGAGTAATTCAGCAGTTCCATGAGGGACAGCGACAGATGCTCATTGGGAAGGGAATTGAAGTGTGTCCAGTTCGATTGATGGTATTCATTAACCTCTATTTCTTCCCACGCGTCCGCCCTGACGTCACGTGTGCCGGGCGTGTGGTCGGATTGCCCTTTCGGGTTAAATTACGGCGTCGGTCTCATTGGCCAATGGAATGGCCTGACGGTTGGAGACCTGAGGTATGATTCATCGACACCTTGCAGGGCTCCTGTCATGATCCAAGTCCTCTCAAATCAATGTACGGTCCCTGTCCCTGTCCTGTAGCAGATAATTTTCCATCGAGTCGGGCCGATTCGGAGGATACCATGCATGAGAGATGCATCAGCCAGCATCTGGGTCTCCACCCATTCAGCTTGGAGCGGTTCATGCGCAGTACTAGCGAGACCGGGGATGTGCAATCCAGAGCTGAGCTTCCTTGCTTAGTTGAATGCCACTTGGAGACAATCAAGGAAGCAAATAGAACAGGGGAAAACGAACAAGAAAACAGAAATTTTCATGACCGCCGTCCATCCCGAATTAACGAGATAGGGCTAATCAGTCCGGAAACGGCAATTCTCTTGGCAAGCTGAGGGACAGACAATCAGAATACTACTGCGTCCTCTAGTCTACTACTAGTAGAGTTTAGTCCGATACTCGCAACGGCACTTCAAGAACGAGTCTCGAGCCGATTGTCGCGGTGCCAATGAATCCAATGAATGACGCTGTACACTCTGGGAGGAGGAGGGATGATCGTTTCGCAGAAGATGGGACGTCGATCCGGATGTGATCGACGGCATCAGCGACCGTTCAGCAGACTGCTTGCCAAGGGATTGGCACAACCCCTCACTGGAGAACGAGTCCTACGACCTTAGTAACTAGTACTACTCCTAACTAATCTGACCGTGTCGATCATTCAACCAACTGACTTTGCAAACCCTGCCTGCTTTCTTCATCACTCCCCCATTCATCCAAGCTTCCAATCACTCTCTTTTTCCCCCTCCCCCCAATTTCTCTCTTTTTTCCCCTTCTCCACTTCGCCCGACCTTATCATCTACACACAGCCCCCCCCCGGTTGTAATGATGAGAATAGTGTTGCGCAAGCAGTAGTTATCTAGAAACGATCTCCCGTCTACCACCGGTGTTGCACGGGTGGTACTCGTCGCCAACATGTGGACTGCGTGGAGACGGTTTTTCCATGCGTCGGCGAACGACGATGCGTCCAGTCCCTCCTCGCTGTACGACGAGAAATGCGGCGGGCTCGACATCAACGTCACGGAATCCAGTCCGCCAAAAGCGACTGGCGCGGTCAAAATCGAGGCCGTGGAAGCTGTGGGCGGCCGGAAGGGACGATATCTCCTCTATATCGGGTATGTCCTGCCACAATCCTCTACTAGTACTACGATTCATCTCCCAAATGCTAACCATGTCATACCGTACAGCTTGGTCATGGTTATGGTCATCTTGTGGGTCTTGCGGGGATCTGCCACGCCCTCTGGGTAGCTCTAACATCTGTGTAGTGAACTGGACAACTCCACCGTAGGGACTTATCGCAACTTCGCGACATCCGACTTCAAACATCTTTCCGTGCTGGCCACGCTCAACACGGCGGCCAGTATCATTACCGCCGTCAGTAAACCGCCGATAGCCAAAGTCTCGGACGTCTTGGGGCGGGCCGAGGCATACATCTTTACCATCACATGCTACATTCTGTCGTACATCCTCTGTGCATCGTCCCAGACGTTCAGCATCTATGCGGGTGGCTACGTCTTCTATTCCGTCGGCCAGGCCGGTACGGCCATCCTCAACTCCACCGTCGTGTCGGACATCTCGTCCATGCGCTGGCGCGGCTTTGTCTACAACATCCTGTACATTCCCTTCCTGATCACGCCCTGGGTGTCGGCATTCATCGTCGACAGCGTCGTCAATGGCATCGGATGGCGCTGGGGGATTGGCATGTTCGCCATCTTGATGCCCTTCTGCGCCAGTTTCATCATTGTCACCCTCCTCGTGTTCGAACGACGGGCCAAGCGGTCGGGCCTCATCCTGACGGAGAAACTGAATCTCTTCACCTTCTGCTCGCGCATCGATCTGGGCGGCATCATCCTGTTGAGTGGCGGATTTGCGTTGGTCCTGATCCCCATCACTCTGGCCGCCACGACATCCGATTGCTGGAAGACTCCGTGGGTCGACGCCTTGATTGTGCTGGGGGGCATCGCCCTGGCCTGTCTGTATCCGTACGAGAAATACTGCGCCCGCCACCCGGTCGTCCCCACCCACTACTTCCGTACCTTGTCCGTGGTGGTCTCTATGGCCTTGGCATGCGTGGACAACATCGGGTTCGGAACCACCCAGACCTACCTGTACGTCTGGTCCATGGTGTCCCACAACTTCTCGCCCCGCGATGCCCAGTTTCTCAACTACACCAACAGCGTCATGCAGGCGTTGGTGGGGATGGGCACCGGGCTGCTCATGTATCGGCTCCGGTCGTACAAATGGATCGGGGTGGTCGGCGCCGCGATTCGCATGGTCGGGTACGGCGTCATGGTCCGTCTGCGCACAAACGAGAGCTCCGTTGCGGAACTGTTCATCGTCCAGCTGATCCAGGGTGCGGGTAGCGGGATGATCGAGACGATCGTAATCGTCGCCGCTCAGATCTCCGTGGCTCATGCCGAGCTGGCCCAGGTCACGTCGCTCATCCTGCTCGGATCGTTCTTGGGCAATGGCATCGGCTCGGCCATCGCCGGGGCCATCTACTCCAACCAACTGCGTGACCGGCTGCGTTTGCATCTGGGACACAGCGTCGACGAGGCTACCGTCGTCCGTCTGTACAACTCCATTACAGACACGCTGCCCACGTGGGGGACGCCAGAGCGAAATGCTGTCAACCGAGCTGTACGTTCACCTGGTCTTCGTTTGCTGTGTGACTCGAAGCTCTTCGCTAACCTTCTTTCAGTATTCCGATGTCATGGGGTATGTCGTTTTGGGGAAGGGGAGGTGATGATTCAATAACGCATACTGACTGTCGCAGGTACATCACGATCGCCGCGCTGGCGCTTTCCGCGCCCGTCGTGATCCTCTCTCTACTACTACCGAATAAGAGGCTCGGGTATGCACATGTCCCTCGCCCTGTTTACAATCCTTTGCTCTAACCAACCTGCAGCGACGGACACAATCTGGTCCAAGACAACCAAAGCGACGATTCCCGTTCCTCCGACGAAACCCTGGTGGATGAAAAGACCTGCGCCCGATAATTCTAATGCCACGACCTGTGCGATGCTGATGCTGATGACTATACATTAATGTGTGTACATATGGGACTATATATAGTTTTGGGATCCCTAGACTAGGAACATTACTCTCCCGCTTCCGTTTTTTCAACCCCCCGCAATCAAATCTTTCCTGGCGACCCAAGCACACAGAAGAAGTCCCTGTCCGGCGTGCTATCGAGGGCATTCTTAACCAGGTTCCAGACGTTCAGATCATACGCCTCGCCGATATGTCCCACGGGGTCGAGGGGACACTTGTCCTGCACGTACATGTTGTGGGCGCCGTCCACCCACGACGTCGAATGCGGCGTAACCATCTCATCGTACTTCGAGACAATGACCGTGAGGGTGTTTCCGGGCTGCAGGATGGGCTGGCCATCATTCAATCGCTGCACGGCAGCCCCGTCGGGACCCAGATCGTCACACGCGGGACAGCCAAACGTGCTCAGCACCTCCCCCACAACTTCCCGGGAAACATTTCCGAAGAGGTATGCGAGATTGTACAGGCCGCCGAAATTCGTGCCTCCCGTTGGGGGAGCGATCGCCACGATCTTATCGACGAGGTCCGAGACCCCCCCGAATTTCGGGACGTAGAGCGATTGGAATCCGCCCTCGGAATGCCCGACCAGATCGACCTTCTTGGCGCCTGTTTTCTCCGCGACTTCGCGGATGTACGCGGCGATCTCGCCGGAGGATTCGCTGATGGCGCGCAGGCCGCCCAGCAGCGGGAAGCCGTCGTAGGCGCCGTAGGTTTGCGCGTAGGTGCAGTAGCCTTGGGTTTGGAGCCAGTATTGCAGGAAATTCAGGTCTTCGTAGTAGGTGGCGCCCAGACCGTGGAGGAGGACGACCGGGTTCGGGTGCTCCTCTGTCAGCTCGCAGTCGAAGTCATTGATGCCAAACAATGCCGCCGCCGAGGGGGCGAGCAGGGCGGCCAGGGGAAGGAGGGAGTGTAACTTCATTGTGGCTAATTATAGTAATCCAATTGTCTTCCAAGGAGTGTGGGTATGCAGGCTCAGTGAAGGTGTATATACAAACAAAGGAAATAGGGGGATGATGAATGTCTACAAACGAGGGAAGTGTAGTAGTGAATCGCGACCCATTCCAGGGACCATGTCGCCTTTTAAACTAAAAAAGGAATGAAAATGAAAATGAAAAAAACAAAGCACCACAGAAAAGCGCACCGACCAACATGCCTCAGCTGGAGTGGACCTCGCATCGTGGAAAAAAAAGAAAAGAAAAGAAAAAAAAAAAAAAAAAAAACCCAAATAGATTATGGATCGGATCAGGAGAATAGCGATCGGCTTCAGGAACCATACAAATGCATTCCTGCGGAGTGGAGTCTGCGATCCAAACTCAGCGCTAACCGATTAGGGCCGCCGCTATTCCACACTATTGGAAATTGTTTGAGCTGTTCCTTGCATGGCATTGGCTGGAGCCTTCGCTGGGGGTTGAAAAGTAAGACAGGTGACAGGTGCATTTCCTGTCCGCTCTCCAGTTGTCTGTTGAATGTTGAAGTTGAGTGAATGGAACCCGACATCTCACGGCGGGGAATTCAAGGCAGGTGAATGACAGTCACGTTCCAGTTTCTCCCGGCGGGGTATATATTGCTCCATCTTTCCTCGACTGACACCTCTCGTCTTCATCAAGTCTCGTCGCTGTATTGAATCACTTGCTTTTCTACCATGACTGCCAGGGCAGCAACTGCACCGACTGAATGGAGTCCAGTATCCTCATAGACTTCCCAGCCAGCCAGCAGTAATGTCAGCTCAAAACACGAGAACCGGATCCACAGCCATCGCCAATCAAGCAACAAACCCCTCACATAGACAGTTGCTGGAACCACTTTACCTTATTGGCGACACTCGATCCTTCGTGATGTATACTCTGCCTCCTACACGTGCGGTTAGATAAGTCATGGTGGCTATATATACTCGCTATCTCGTGCTGCCACCTCCGCTGAGGTACTTAGCGGCGCAAGCTTCATCCAGTTGATCCAGGACCGAATAAAAGCAAAGCCTCGAGCATCTTTAGGTAGGAAGTGTTATCTGTCCAGCGAAATACAGCATGTTAACTTTCTTTCTTAGCAAGGAGTGATCACAAACAGTAGCATCCACTGTTCTTTTCAGATGAAGCAACCATCATGCCCGGATTCTAGACATTGCCTACCCATTGTCCTCTGCACTTTGGCTTTTCATGTCCACGTCGGTCCTGCTATCGCTACGGAATGGGAGACGGTCCAAACGATGGCGGAAACAGTGATTCTCCCATGGGCAACAGTTCTAAACCTCCCACTTGACAGGATACCACTGAGATCTGGACCTGAGCCGAGACTATGCAACAGACCCCTCAGCTCAACTAGGAGCTTAAGACTGTTACAAACCACGACCAGTCAGCAATGATTTCGTTCATTGAGCAACAACGTCTTCTGGATGATGGCTTGGAATGATTGAACTTCCACGCAGACTTTGCCACCAGCATCGGGTTTGAACGAGAATCAGCGCAAGGCGCTTAACAAACTCCAAATCACCCCCGGTCCCATTTGACTGCGCCATGGTACCCCGGTACCAGGAAAACATTCAGGCTACTGCAGGTCTTACGGAACCTATTGGCGTTGAAGTTGCGCAGGGTATTCGCGACTGGGCGGTGAATGTGTCCAACACCCGCTCCATCTTATGGCTTACCGTCGTAAAACACTGTGCTCATCAACGCACAGATGTCCGGGTGCATACGGTGTTGGATCTCCAGCATATGGACGCCAAGCCCGGCTAGGACGAGGCGGGTGAACAGGGAGAGAGCCTAGTGCGCGGAGAGAGGATTGTCAGCAGGGCCCGACAGTGTAAGGGACTTCAGCTGATGGTGATCTCCGACCAGCAGCGTGACCCGGTTATAATAGAATCCGAAGATCGGCCAGAGCTTCGGTTCGAACAACTTTATATACGTATCGACCGCAATAACAGTGGGATTGATAACAGAGTACAGGGTAAACTGGCTACTCGCAAAGAGAGGGGCGACGATGACCTTAGCCCTCTTTAGGGCTGCGCCTGTTGACTAGGCCGTGCCCGTGGAGGAAGCCGTGCCAACTGACAAAACCACACCTCCCGTGGACGATAACCTCCTAAATAAGATCACGTTTGCTTACACGTTGTGAAAATTCCACGAGGAATAAACCACGACCCCAGCTGGGCTCGCTGATAAACGGGTGGCACATATCCAGTTGAGTCTTGGACACTGTATACCTCAACTGGCGGGTATAATTCTCTGTGCCTGAAGTGAGCCAGAGAATCACCGCACTTTCGCTGAATACTTTGATCAGTATCAGTGTGACGAGCTTGACCCGGAAACCATGATACAGTTTCGTGCGGCAACTAAAGATCTGGTCATACAGTGGATTATATCTGGCCGACCCTGGCGGCGGTGCCCTGGGGCAGTTGAGTCCCATGAAATATCTGTTTCGGTGTGAATTGCATGATACCGCACCACGATGGCGTCTCGCTTAGTCTCGCTTCTCACAAGCCTGTCCATCAGTTGGGCAATATTGTTCATGACGCTGGTAGAGCAGTGATCAGTATCTGATGCAGGGGTTCCATCTCTCAGTTCGAGTACAGGAGCCCCGGCGGCGACAAATGCCATCCTTCAAGCCAGGGTTCAGGCCATCCAGTTAAAGCTGGTCACCAGTGATAAGCCTTTCTGCGCCCAGATTAACGGACTCCGTGAAACGCAGAGATCCGCCCGAACTTACTGGGGGGCCCTGCTGGCCAATGAACTCTGTCGAGAGAGATCCTCTACCATCAATATGTACTGAACCATTGCCGAGGACTTTTCTGAGAACTTTGCTATCAGGATGGGGTTTAATATCAAACAACAGCAGATATTTGGCGAGCTCCAAGCTTTTTCTGGCCGGATTGGATTGCTCTATAGCCCCCCGGGGACTGGTAAAATATTTTGGATACTGCGTGTTCTTCTATTTATAATGTACCCGAATATCCGCCGAAGACAACCACATCCTTAATTCACTAACGTTTACCCACACGGTATTCGATTTCTCCATGATACCCAAGTCGTCAAAGACTCTCTGGTCGATGACCTTGCACGATGCAAGCACAATATTTACCATAGTGGTAATCAGCCTTTCGAGCGGTCATAATCTTCAACAAGGGGCCGCTTTTACTACCCAATGTTTATTGAAGGGGCTACCTCTGATGATGTCTATCGTGACTTCGGCTTCGTACATATCCCGCCCACAAGCGTTCCGCTGGTGAGTGAAGATGCTTGGTATTTGGGATGATACGGTCATGGACAGTATGCCACTATTCAACACCTAAAGTTGGCAGCCAATAACGACGGACAATTCAAGAGGGCTTCCACCAACCCACCATGAACAGAGTGCAGCTCAGGCGAAAGTGACAACCCACTTACATCCACATCGCCCATCCCACAATACCCAAGAGACCTTTGCTAAAGCATCAGTAACTCTCTCAAACGGGACCAGGTCACGTACCCTGGAGTCGGGCTATGAAGTCTCAAAGACTATCGTGGACGGGCTCACTCCTATGGAACACCGGGTGATTGAAGACATGCAACTTTGCGATACTCATGTATCGCGTTTAATCTGCATGCCCGCATTATTTTATATAATCGATATCATCGATCACTTGAGGTCCCCGTGGTACAGATACCTACAACAAAGCGAGACGATGTGATTGAAGCCTTCCAGGACCGGCCTGCGGGCGAGTTGTATAACAATAATAAGCAGGCGCCAGATATTCTTATTAGTCCGCAGCTTTTCGAATATTTCCGAAAGAACGGCTAGACCACATGACGATGCAGGTCTCGTGCTTTCAACCGCCAAACGAGAACTTGAACATCGCCAGTACAAACCACTAAGTAACCGGCTCTTATCAAGTTACGATATCACCTGTATGCGACTCCTTTCCCTCTTTGGAACACACGCGAGCAGTATAGCTGCCCTCAATCACCCGATTATCGCCCCAGACGGGAAATGCACAGACAGGAGAGTGGCGAAACCACCAGCTTCTGGCACATCGACATGGCTAGTATTGGAACAGCTATTGAGCTGATTGAGTCGTATGGCTTCGTCTGATGATCTCCGAGGGTTTATATAGTACAGCATATTGTTTGAAGTAAATCCTAATCCGAGGCGTCTCTTAGTCGACAGCTCGGACCTGCCCACAACGTGCATTATTGACTGTATGAGATTTAGAGGCTTTGGTAATTGAACTGTTATTCGCTGTTCGACATTCAATATAGCGGTTCTTAATCAGTGCCTTTATGTACTCTTCGATAGTTTCCGGACGAATTGGTGTACTTCGAACATTGTTCTGTTGATGGTCTTGTGGCTCTGTGTCCTATGGGTTGTTATCTAACGGTCTGTGCGTATGTGTGGAAGAGAGAGCGCGAGACAGAGAGAAGGATAACATAATCTCTCAAGAGATGTTCAAGGATAGCTATCATTACAAAACATTGGTTCGGGAAAGTTGGATCTTGTTAATCCCTCAAATCGCTTGGCATGGTCAATGGTGAAAATATCGGGTATAAATTTAAGTCGTCACTATCCGAAAGAGTTGCATGATTATTGTACATATGGATTATCCTTTTCGTTAGACGCGTCAAGGATTGTGCCCCTCCGGCCCTGGTCAGTAAACCTTGCTCGCGCAGAAAAATCAACAATAACTTTTAACTAAGGTTCGTATCGCTCGTAAGTTCGTTCCCGGTAAAAAAAAAATCAGCTTTCGAGCCTGCGATCGCCAACATATTCATCCTAGTTCTATACAAGGCCCCCCGCGCTCATGTTTTCGGCGGTGATCCGGCCCGAGGGGATAGCTCCGACATGCCACTTCCCCAGAGTCCAAGAGAGTGGCGCTTCTCGACCAGTTTCAACACGTCGTAGATAAATCGTCGTTCAGGTCCGCCGTCGGGGAACACCTCCCAGGCCACGCGC